ACCTATTAAAAATGAAATTAATTTTAGTATAGTTGAGTGAAGTAGTAAACCTAAACTTTACTCTGTGCCAATTATTCTGCTAATCCAAATTTTAAACACTTATCAGTTAAGTAACTGATACTAAACAAAATTAGTGTAAAAAGCAGGCGTATAATTAATAAACATACGAAAATAAGTAGGTATCTATAATAAATTAGAGAAATACACAATACCATAGTCTCTTTGTCTATTGAGTCTTGATAGTTAAAAATTATAAAAATTATAAGTTATAACCATCCGTAAATTATAGTAATCTGTGACGAAAAACGATGTGGGTACTGGGTACATGTCTTAGTTCTTGGTCATAATATTACTATTATTATAAATATGAATAAATTAGCAATTCCATTTTCTTTCTTCCTAAATTTCAGAAAATAAACTGTGTACACAAATCACTTTTAGCTATAACATTATTACGGTTTGTAGGACCACTGAGCCGTTTTTGTCCGTGTACGGAAAATCGAGCAAACTACTGCTGCTGTGGCTGCTCAATTTATGGAACACGAGACGCACACGCCAAACACAAAGTATTATTATTATTACTATTATTATGAAATGCGAAGTCGTCCTACACAGTATATTATCATGCCAATCGAATCGCAATCAATCGTGACAATCGCAGACGTTATAATATTATATTATATGTATTGTAAGCCTCAATGATGAACATTGAACACAAAGAAAGTAGGTAGATGTGCACAGGTACCTATACGCGTTAAACAATATACAAATATTATATATATATATATATAGATGTGCACGAGCGGTCTCCGCGATACGCAAATCATCCGTTAAGTGTGGAGAAAACCATCGCGCCATATAAATGTACACACACGAAATCACCGAAGATCTCTTTGTCGAGACGATTATTCCCAACGGGATTATCGGTTTGCACTCGGTCTCGTTTTTCAATCACTCGCTCGCGAGAATGCCCACCCGTTCCCCGCGCAATGTATCGGCAGGTAAATTATATTGATGTATTGCATATATATATATACCTACGCATTGTGTACAGGCATGTATATCGCGTACAACACATAATAGTACATTATGTATATACACTGCGGCGAACGTCGCTGCGTTAAATGTAATGGGGTTTCGATCTTTGCGGATTACACACCAGAAGTGCTTACTTGGCATCGTCGCCGGCCGTATTATACACCGCTGCGGCTGTATAATGTTGTACTCGGCAACCGTTTGTCCGCAAAACGTAATGACGTTATAACGTGTTTGAGATGTTTGATTAATCCGAACCAAACCCACTGACAATAAGTGAGTATTTTGGTTTTCAGAGCGTGAAAGCTGATGACATAAAAAAAAAAAAAAAAAATACATACACACAATATACATCTATCCTATTCGTCGTCAAGTCACGCTCTTACGATTAACATTAACGGACCTATTTTTTTTTTTTTTTTTTACGCGCGTTCGCTGTATATAAATCAACAAACGAAATAATATGCTTGCGTTTAGAGAATCGGGTTACGATCGATTTCCAATGCACAAACGAATTATTAACATATAATTTTATTATATTTCGTTGGATGGAGATTGAGATGTAATTATATTACTATGTACGCTACACAAATCAATAACATTATATCTCAAATTGAATCAGAAAATAATATGCGTCGAGATTATTATATTTTACTTATTTTAATGTAAATAAAAAATCGTTAGTAATGGACACAATACTAACTTTTTACTGATACGTTACTAATTTTTATTGACAACCAATCTTTAAAAATACTTATACTTATTTGAAGTTGTATAATTTTACAATTATTAAATGAGGTACATGGGTATAAATTGTATCATGATTTATAAATCATATCAGAAAAACTAGAATTTTAGGTGATTCAAAATCAAAAATCTTATACAATAAAGTAATACACTAATATCATTTATATTATCATATATTTATTATTTATATTAAAAATTATAAACCCATAACAATTTGCACTTCTATAATTTACAAATTAAATAAATATAAAAATAATATAGCTTTCTATTGTTCTGAAACAATTTATACTATTAAGTACTTGAAATAATAAGTAATAAATAAAAATCATAATACATTTTTTACATGAGTTTTAAAATATGTTATGATATTGAGTTTATGAGTTTGTAACTTTAGAGTTAAATTGCTATGTTTGAATTTGTTAAACAACTTCTGCATTATACCTATGTAATTATATAAATATGTTACACATTTTCATTGTTTCATGCAATAAAACAACTTTTTAAAATGTTCACCTACAATTTGATAGACTAAACTTAAACTCTTATATATTATAATGAACATTTTTTTCATTCTTACAAAATTGAAATATTTCATGAAAATAAATTGTATGACATTTTAAAACCCTATATTAATTGTAATTAAAATTTTTTTATAATGTATTAGAATTTGATAAATTATATTCCCACTAACAAAAAATGTCATACAATCATCATTGATAATGAATATAATTCAGTGGAAAAAAATGATAATTCCGTCTGTTATTAGGTCATCACTGTAATGTGGAACTGTGGAAGTATTAATAACAAAATATAGGTAAGTGTTATCGATTTGCAGCATCTATATGCACTCGCACATCATAATATTTTCATTGTCCATGTTCAATTATTCAAGCAAAAGTGCTCACAAAATATCAATGCTAAATTATCTGAAGTTAATTTTATGCTCATCGGTTTTCATTTGATTCGTTAACTAAATATTTATTTTATTACATTGCTAGTAAAGGTTATACACCTTGACTCAGCAATGTTCATTCGACTTAATCACGAGAGAGTGATATATTTTTTTTTTTTTTTATTTATTTAAAATAATACAATTTACAAAAATCACTTTAAAATGTTTATGGATGACACCAACTCTCGCCATAACAAGTATGCTACGCAGCAGATAAAATGTATAATTGTGTTTCAGTGAAACTCACGAATCACAAAAATATACATACAAAATGTTCATGTAATCATATGACGAGCTATTTTTCGTCACAATAATTAGGTCATAAACAATTATCTACAACAGCGAACTGTAGCTTAAATTGAATAAATACTCAACAACGGTTCCATATTAGATACAAAGAAAAGAATATTTTTTTTTTCTTACTATTGAGTTGTTGTGAACATATTTTCGACGAATTTATACTTCGGTTGTCGGAAGAAAATTTAAGTTGACAGTTTGTGTTTCCCCAAAAATTAATCTCAATATAATAAACTTTGGATTCATCAATCGGACTGAACTACAAAAGTGGTTTTAATTTATTTATTTCATTACTCGTTGAATAAAATACAGTGGTTATGTATATAAGTAATTAGCCTAAATATATTATTCAAATTATATTTGGTATAATGAGATTAATTACTTATATTTGTACAGTTTGGCTGTGTTTTGTAGGTATAGTATTATTATAGCCATACAACATTTTGTGTGCATTTTGATCAAATTATTATAATCGTATCAAGAATTTTAATAATGTTTAAAGATGATATGTACATAATATAGATTTTAAATATACATATATTATGTATTTTAAATGGATACATTGGGAAAGAAAAGGAAAAATGCACAAAATACAGTTTCTGCGTAAAAAATAATTATCTGTATATTATTAAAACGGTAATATTGTATTTTAATTTAAATAATTAATTCTAGCCAAGTCACAGCAGAGAATTAATAGAAAAATAAAATAAAATTGTCACCTTGTGTTTGTAGTGTTTTGTACTCAATTTAATTTATTGCGTATAACACCATACATTTCCTAAAAATAACAAAACGTTTGTCTCTTGAATTAGTTGGTATTTTGGAATGCGGTGATTCACTCGACCGGGCCGTAACGACAATAATCAAGACATCTGTTATTGAGTCGCGTTCGATGAAATAATATTATATACATAATCGTCACATAGGACGCGTGTATGTAAACAAAATAATGGCGTTTAAATAGGATGGCTGTGACCGTATTTGGACGACTTTATTATAAACATGACAAATGTACATATATAGGTATAATGTATAAGTAATTATTAATTAAACGTACTACCGGTGAGCTGCCGGTTCCCCTCGCCAGTCGTCCTATTTCCGGGGCAACTTTTACGCATATACGTCACGACGATCATAATAGTGGTAATAATAATTAATAAAGTAATAACAGCAATTTTGGTCATGCGCCAGTATAACATGATAATGTCATAAGTGTGCAGCTACACACATAAACGATATCATTAAATACAAAAAAAATTTAAAAAAAAAAAAAACAGAAAAATTATAATTCAAGCAGACGGAAGACCCCGGGGTAACCCATCGAGAAACGGTGAACGGCTAACCCACCGCCGAATCTCCCGACCCACCTCTACAATAATTACTATCGGTCTCCCCGAAATCGTGTATCACGAGGAATTGATTATAATGTGTTATTATTTTGTTTTTCGTTTTACCGTAGGTATTATAGTTATACCTATGCGTATATAGTTGTCCGGTCAAACCGTAGGTAACCGCTAAACTAGGGCGCGATCGAAGGGTTAAGCCGCTATATAGCGACCGGTTCCGAACAAGTCAACGACCCCGCGGCACAGAATAAGTCTGTGGCATCGTGACATCGGTGTCGGGTCCAGTCGGTGCAGTCTGCGTGTCTGCAGTGGAGATAATAATAATATACCTACCCGTGTAGCATATCATAACGATATTATAATGACCAACGCGACGAGATTGGGTCAAGAACGGCGGCGGCGACTG